ACGACGTGATGCAGTATACCAAAACGTGTCTCATCTGCCAACAAGACAAGGTCGAACGAAACAAAATTGCAGGTTTACTGGAAACCCTGCCAATCCCATCACGACCGTGGGAGAGTGTGTCCCTCGACTTCATCACTCACCTACCTAAAGTCGGAGAGACAGAAGCTATCCTCGTGATAGTTGACCGGTTCTTGAAGTATGCTACCTTTATTCCAACTACGAAGACGTGTTCGGCCGAAATGACTGCACAGTTATTTTTCAAGAATGTTGTGAAACTATGGGGTGTTCCTGAGAGCATCGTGAGCGACAGAGACTGACGCTTCACAAGGACATTCTGGACAGAACTTTTTCGCCTATTGGGATCCAATTTGAACATCTCTTCGAGTTATCACCCACAGACAGACGGACAGACGGAACGCTTCAACAGTATGCTAGAAGAGTACCTCCAACTATAATTTTACAAAATATGGAAATTTTTTATTTTTGCATGTCTATTTAGACGTAATTGTGAAATTTATTTTTACATTTGTATTATTACTGATAAACACTAATATACCAATACTGGTAACTACTAATAAACTGACAATCTATTAGTATATGTATCAATAAAGATGTCTATTAGTAATATATGTCAGTTACTAGTGGACGTGTGAGATAGAGACATCATAAGAGAAAGAAACTACACTAAATTTCAAAACTATTTGTACATTTTTGCCTCAGAGAATTTGGGTTGAACATCTTATTTACTTTAATATATTTACAAATCCAAAATGTTGTCGCTTAGACTTACTCTACCATATATTCAAACACCAAAATTTATTTTATATATAAAGTCTAAAATGTCCATCAAATCAGTAGACAAAACATTTTAAAGTTCAAATAATTTATAATAAATTTACTTGTTTTTGTTGTAAATATCTTAAGCTATGGTATGAAAGGGTCAGGATTTGGAGGCATGGCATTTGCGTAATAAGAAATGTATCAAATGGTGAAGCAATTGCTTATTTGTCAAAGTAGAGACGTAAAAGAATGGATGCAAAAGAAAAAAAAAAGCAATTGATTTTGCCTTTGCGTATACTTTTGTTGTCCAAATTGTGCAAGCAATTGCATCCATGATGGACCGTCCCCGTCTCCAATCTCTTAATCATTATCTTAAAATTTATAAAAAATAATCATTATCTTAAAATTTATAAAAAAAAAACATATACTTTTATATACGTGCGTAAATCTATTAATTTGATTATAACTCAATTAATTGAAATATTATATTAATATAGGAAAAATTGATTTTACTATTGATATATTAATTTTCAACATAAACTTTTTAATTTCATCTGGATTTATTGCAGCAAGTTTTTACATTTTGTTACCGTTTTGCTAGTTCAATAATTAATTTTAATTTTAAAAAGTGATAACGTTCCACAACTAAGTTAATACAAAGATGATAGTAATAATAAAAAAGAATATTAAAACACATGCATGTAATCTTTTTTAGTTCACAAAGAGTGAGATGCATAAATGCTAGAGAAATCCATTTCGTAAGTTATAGTTAGAGGTTCAAATTTTCAATTCTACATCTGTTGTACTTAAAAAGGGATAAAATTAGGGTCACGAGTCAAAAGCCCGTCATGTGGGCCGAGTCGAGGAAAAAGCCACAAATCGCCAAACGCATAGAAGAAACTCTTGATCGCATCGACAACAGGATCGAGTACACCGAACACCTCGTACAAAGGACGACTAGCGAGTAGGGTTGACACCGTGTACCCAAACTATGATATAACACCTCAGTGAACCACCCAAAATGCCACCATGCCCCATAATCACACCACAATGGGAAGCAGAGGATATCAGTATGGTTCCTATGGATCCCGAGCGCGGCATACTACTCCCTTGTGAACGTCTCATATAGGGGAAACCTTTTTCTCTCTCTCCATATATATATATAGGGAGAAGGACAATTTTAGTACAGATAAGTTGCATTTTTCCTACACAATTCTTGGTGAAGATTCGGCACACTCTCAAGCGGACTCTCACTTATTTGTTTCATAAGTATTTGCTCCAAATTTGAATTCCAACTTAAGCATTGGAGTGTATTTGGTAGAGCACTGCATCGTGTTAAGTTTGTTGTGCAGAAACCTGGGATTCACGTGGATAGCATTAATATTACCTAATTGAGCTATTATCGTGCCTCAATTATGTTCAAATTATTTCACACGTGCATCATGTTTAAGTGATGGTAAAATATATATACATATATTTATATCTTGGCATTTTGGATGCTAGTGGAGATTTCAATGTCGTCGTTGGCATCCAATTTTGACTTATTTTTCCATTTATTTTTCTACAAACGGGTTAAATTAATTTACGGTTGGTTTTAGTAAATGGGTTAATTGATTTTTTTTCCTTTTTTTGAAATAGGGTTAACCTTGACTTTAAAAGCAACGATCGGTCTAGCCTAATTAATATAAAATATTACAAAAGTTACAACTAAAAATATAATTACAAATATAGCAAGAAATATGAAACACACAAACTACGGTTAGCATAGATTAATAATTCTCGTATACAAATACATTAGTTGATTTTTTTGTTAATATTATCTTTGCCTTTAAAATTTTTAAAAATGTTGTAATTGTACTTATTTTAGTTAAAACACACACTTACAAATTTTTCTTGAAAATTGGTCAAATTAAATATAACTCAACTAGTTAAAATACTTATCTCCGATTAAAAAATTATGAGTTATGATTTTTAGAGGTTCTACTAAACAAATTCAGAAAGTAAACCTACCCATTCAAAATTTTCCTAATTTTATTTATAAAATAAATTTAAACTAAGTTGATAAGTTTGAGTTCGTGGGCTCGTCTGATGAGGTTCGTTAAGCCCATATGAGCCTGAGCCCAAGCCCAGACTCAGAAATCTTGGGCCGATATATTTCGGCCAGTATTCCACTAATGGGCAGATTGGGAGAGCTCGTCAACTCGATTACTAAAGTAAACATCTAATTTACCAAGTTATCCTTTATAGTGCCAGAATTCCCCGGATCTGACGGATGGTATTTTGGTCAATAGCAGTCTTCCTATCAGCAATTAACGAGTAATTTGGCGCGTGGCGTGACTCTTTGACGATCGCGTCAGGATTATTCAGTTATAGTATCCAGAATTATATTGCCGAGAAAGCGGAACACGTCGGGGGCATTTTTTTAATGTCGACTTTGCCCTTTTATGATTAATTAACGGTAATTTCAATTTCCAGCCAATAGGATCCCATCACTCTCTCATTTTCATCCAATAATTAATTTTAGAAAAAATTTCGTAAAACATTGCTACAGATTTAAACTTGCATCCCGTGGGAACGAGCATCATATACTCTTGTTTTACTATATTCAAATTTGAAACATTTTTTTATAATAAAATAAATTTGGAATCCGAGAATTTGAAGGTAGGTTTATATTTAATCTCTGTACTACAAAAAGTGACAGTTTGGTAACTTACTTTGAGATTAAAAGGCCTGCTAATTACACTAACGAGATGTGATATGATATGGTGAGTTGTATTTTTATCATTTTTAAATTATATAATATTTTTTATCATTTTTTCTTCTCTCTTTCTCTCTTTTCTTCTTCTTTTCCCTCTCGTTATTTTCACCGTGACCCCTTCTTTCCCCCTCTCTTCCTCACTGACTGGTAGTTCACACTCTTCGATTGCACTCTTACCATAGTGCATCATCGCTGAGTAATAATCTAGTCGAAAATAATAGTCAATATAGCTAAAAAGATTTGCAAACATGACAATACATTTGAAAAAAATTTATCAATATATCTCGACCTTGTATGTTGATAGACTTTTATCACGTTAGACCCTGTAAGTGATATACATTGATGACGTCTATTAGTAATACATACTAATAGATATGTCAGACCTTATATGTGATAATATACCTTAGCATAAACATTAATATATGCCAATCATGAATAATTACCATATTTGCAAAATCTTGTTTCTTGAGTCGTTATACATTTACCTGTTCGACAAAACTACTTGGCATCCACTATCATGTTCACAGTATTTGTACATTTTTTTTAGTACTCTCGATGTAATATTTATTTGGGTTTTTAGTTTTAGAAACGATGTCGTAGTTTATGAGATTTTGAAATTTGTTTATTTGATCTAACTATATATTCCGTAAACTTTCTGGTAGCCATCTAGATTTGAATTTTAGATTTTCTTAAAATTGACGTTTGGTTGTTCATAGAGTTTGAAGGATTCTTTTTAATATTACATCTTTAATTTATTGTAAAAATATTATCAAATTCAAAATTATTAAAAAAGTAACGTTTCATAAATTCTTTATATAAGTGACATTATATGTCGTCTCTTGGAGAGATGACATGCATTAAAAAAAGTTACTACTTCGTCTCTCCAGATACATATACATATTTTAAACCATCATATCAAATTGGTGTCGAGGATTATACCCAAAGTTGGTAGGTCACTAAGAAATAACATATCGGATTTTAATTTAATTTTTTTAATTTTAAAATAAAAAAATTTAAACTATTTGTTTAGTTATCAAAATTTAGCTTAAATTTTCAAAATGTTTTTAAAATTTAGATAGCAAAATAAAATAACACACGATGTAAAAGTAGTGTTACAAACTTAAACTAAAAAAAACAAAAAATAAAATAGTTTTGAAAGTACGAACTTTGCCAAAACAAGAATGCGAGATGACTCAATTCATACTAATTTTGATATTATTGTGAATTTATGATTTTTTTTAAAACAAATTGTTTCATAAGATTATATATATATTTTCTGAATTTAAATAGTTAGAGTAAAGATTCAAATTTGTGATCTTTCAATAAAATATAGGCGTGTAAATATCAATTATCTCCGTTTAACTCACTATTTATTATTTATTTAATTTTCGTGGGCGCGATTACACCATTTGCTATATAAATGACAACTGCCTCTAAAACACAAACAAACCCTAGAGAAGAACAGAGAAAAGAGTGGGGGAAAAAAAAAGAAAAGAAAAAAAAGAAAACGCCCAGCAAATAAATTTGCATAGAACGCTTCCTAAAACACTACGCATTATAAAGATCCGTGAATTGATCTGAATCCAATAATAAAAGGTAAGCTTTCTGAGAACTCAATCTCGATCTCACTCTCTGAAATCGCTTCCTTCAGTTGCTGTTCTTCGTTGCTTCTACTGCTCCACATCGCAAACCCCACATAAACCCTTGGAGATTTTTTTCCCCCAATTTACTCGGTTCTTGATGTAATTCCTGGCCTGCAGAGAGTCTGCAGAATATCTATAATTGTTTCTTCTGCTTGTTTTTGGGTTACGGGTTTGAGGTTTTAAGCGCCATGGATGACTTGGAAAAAGCAATACTTATCATGTTTGATGAAGCTGGCAATGTGGATGCCGACTTAAAATTGAAGGCTAATGAGTATTGTGATAAAGCCAAAGAGGAATCGGCAATTTGCAGTGTGTGTGTTGAGAAGCTGTGTTTTTCGAACATTGTTCAGGTTCAGTTCTGGTGCTTGCAAACACTTCATGATATTGTTCGGGTTCGTTATTCGTGGATGAGTTTAGATGAGAAGTACTGTATTAGAAAATCAGTGTTTTCCATTGTATGTTTGGACGGTATTGATGAGAACCACGCACTTAGAATTTTAGGGGGTCCTGCTTTCATAAAGAACAAGCTTGCTCAAGTTTTGGTTACACTAATTTATGTCGATTACCCGGTAAATTGGCCTTCAATTTTTGTTGATTTCTTATCTAGTTTAAGAAAAGGACCAGTGGTGATTGATATGTTCTGTCGAGTTCTGAATACACTGGATGACGAGTTGATTAGCATGGATTACCCTAGAACACCTGAGGAACTGACCACTGCATCGCGGATAAAAGATGCAATGAGGCAGCAGTGTGTATCTTCGATTGTTGGAGCGTGGTATGACATTTTGTTGATGTATAAGAATTCTGATCAAGAATTGTGTGCAAGCGTGTTGGATGCGATGAGAAGATACATATCTTGGATTGACATTGGGTTAATTGTAAATGATGTGATTTTACCACTGTTATTTGAGCTGACTTTAGTTGATGGGTTGTTGGAACAACTTCGTGGAGCTGCAGCAGGGTGTTTACTGGCAGTTGTTTCAAAGCGAATGGATCATCAGGCAAAACTAAACCTGTTGCGGAGTCTACAAATAAGCCGGGTTTTTGGTCTGGTTGCTGGTGAAGACAGTGACTCTGAGTTGGTCTCACAGGTAGCTGGCTTGCTCACAGGCTATGCAGTTGAGGCTTTGGAGTGTTTTAAACGGTTGAATTCTGAAGATTCTAAGAGCACTTCTTTGGAGCTTCTGAATGAAGTTTTGCCGTCTGTTTTCTATGTATTACAAAAATGTGAGTTGGACTCTGCTTTTAGCATTGTGCAATTCCTTTCTGGTTATGTTGCAACCATGAAGAGCCTTTCCCCACTGAGGGAGAAACAACTTCTTCACTTGAGTCAAATATTAGAAGTTATCCATGCACAAATCTGTTATGATCCTGTATACCGGCACAATCTTGATGTCTTAGATAAGGTTGGGAGAGAAGAAGAAGATAGAATGGTGGAGTTTAGGAAGGATTTATTGGTACTTCTCCGTAGTGTGGGTCGTGTCGCACCTGACGTAACTCAATTGTTTATTAGGAATTCAATAGTAAGTGCTGCTGCATCATCATCAGATCGGAATGTAGAAGAGGTAGAAGCTTCACTTACACTCTTCTTCGCATATGGGGAGTCAATTAGTGACGAGGTATTGAGAAATGGAAGTGGACTTGTTGGGGAGCTGGTCACGATGCTTTTATCCACTCGGTTTTCTTGCCATTCTAACAGGCTTGTTGCACTTATGTATTTGGAAACAATTTTCCGATATATAAAGGTAGTGCAGGAGAATTCTCAATTTATTCATGTTGTTTTGGCTGCCTTTCTTGATGAAAGAGGCACACACCATCCCAATATCAATGTTAGTAGGAGGGCAAGTTATCTATTCATGAGGGTTGTGAAACTTCTAAAAGTTAAGCTCGTGCCTTACATCGAGACAATTTTAACGGTATAAATCCGCTCTTTTGTTCAAGCATGTTTCAATTTATATGACTTCTCTATCGACCCATGTATAATGTTGGGTGGTATCCCTAAGTTAGCCTCTTTTTGTTATGGTGAACTTTCAGAGCCTACAGGATACTGTTGCACGATTTACAAGCTCAAATTTTGCATCAAATGAACTTTCAGGGTCTGAAGATGGAAGCCATATATTTGAGGTTTGCCTTTTGCTCTGAGTGTGTATAATGTATATATTAGATATACATGTATCTTCTTTCTATAGTTCTATGTTTATTCTGTGTGCATGCACGTGTATATAATGGTGCTTTCTGCTGTCCTTTTGTTAACATTTCTACCGTATTTGTTTACAGGCAATTGGTTTACTTATTGGGATGGAAGATGTACCACTTGAAAAACAATCTGATTATTTGTCATCTTTGCTCAAGCCTCTTTGTCAACAGGTTGTCATCAAATTGCTAGTAGAATTTTTTAACGATTTGGATCTCTGATTTTGAATTTCTTATATATTTCAACTAAACTTATCATGCTTAAATAAATATAGGTTGAGGTGGTGCTAATGAATGCTAAGGCATTAACTCCAGAGGAGGCTACTGCAAAGATTGCTACTATTCAGCAAATAATTATGGTCATTAATGCCGTCAGCAAGGTCATTTTCTTTAGTAACCTCTCTCTTGGAGCAATGTACCCTTTTTCTCCCTTACACTTTTTTATTGTTTGGTTAGTCATTTTTTTGAAATGTGATATCCATGTTGCCGGTTTCTGTGATATCTCTGATTCTCTCTTTGTGGTAGAACAGTTGTTACTTCGAATGATTTTTAGATATTTAACTCATGTTTACCTTCATTCATCAATAAAAAAGTAGTGAAATGTACAATTTTCTTTTTTGTAATACAGGGGTTCAATGAGCGACTTGTCACATCAAGCCGTCCTGCAATCGGACTGATGTTCAAACAGGTGAGCTGCCAATTTTTGCTATTTTTTCAATTTTAAGAGAGAGTGGCTGGAGGATTTTAAATATTAGATAAATGCATGTAAAATCACCTATAAACATAATGTCTTGCTAGCTGGTGTTCAATTAGATTAAGAGGCCGGTGGCTAAGAGATTCATTTTTGCTCGCATTTTCCTAGCTTCTATTGATGATTAAATGGAGCAAGTTATGAATCAAACTGCTTTTCATTGAGTTATTATTTCTAATCATCTACTGAATGAAGTACATTATTTTTTAATTCAGACGTTGGATGTTCTTCTCCAAGTCCTTGTTGCATTTCCTAAGATAGAGCCACTACGGAGTAAGGTACAGCATTAAATATAGATCCGAAAAGACTTCCTTTTTCAATATTTTATCAGCTGCATCAGTACTAACGTCAATTTCTGTTGAATTAAGGTCCTCTCTTTTATACATCGAATGGTGGACACGTTAGGGGCATCTGTATTTCCCTATCTTCCGAAGGCACTGGAGCAGTTGCTTGCAGAAAGTGAGGTACTTATGAACTAAAGTTCAGTTGGCATTTTATCCATTTAATGAATCTGATAAAAGGAACAACTAAAGACAGTTTGGTTTCTAGTTTTAATTTTTGTATGGGTGAAGTTTGTTCATGTCTTATCATGTAAATGTTTTAGAGCTTAAGTTTAATTGTATGTTAACTATGTTTTCTTGCAGCCGAAGGAGATGGTTGGTTTCATTGTGTTACTCAATCAACTAATCTGCAAATTCAGCACTTCAGTCCATGGCATTTTGGAGGATGTATTTCCCACCATTGCTAGTCGGATATTCAACATTATCCCTACAGATTCACTTCCTTCAGGACCTGGAACCAATAACGAGGTACTATTAATATGTTTTTGGATTCTTATTTTATTTATGGTAATAAATTATTAAGTGGCATCTTCAAGATGACACTGGGGTGGTTGGTATCAGTTTATCCTTTTTGCATTTTAATGTGGTAAGTTATCAGGATTATGATCTCATGTCTTACCCTTTTATCGTGTCATGTACTAGAAAATCAATTTTAGAAAATTTTGAATGGTGAAAAAATGGGCACTAGCTTTTATTGGAATCATTCATCACGTTATTTGAAGTGGAGTCCAACTTGTAAATCAATGCAACATTTTCTCATGTGTTTTATTAATGTCTCTATGTTGAAAACACTCTTTAAAGCCTGGTATGATATGGCCTGATTCATTTCTATTTTAATCATCTGTTGTTAATGATGAATTTGCATTATAGTCATTGAAATTTATGGGCATAAGTTATATGACCTGTGTAACCTTAATTCTTCAAAGGCATGGCCTTTAATTTGATGATCAGATAATTTGCCATCCTCTATGCTATACATTTCCCTTGCATTTGTTGTAGGAAATTCGTGAACTACAAGAGCTTCAGCGAATAGTCTATACATTTCTTCACGTGATTACTACACACGATCTCTCTTCTGTGTTTCTATCCCCTAAAAGTAGAAGCTACCTGGAACCAATGATGCAGTTGCTTTTATATACATCGTGCAATCATAAAGATATTCTTGTTAGAAAGGTAAAATATGGCTTTCCATATTTAAAATCTGTTATATGTATTAGATATTTTCTCTCTAAGATTTGATTGTCTGAACCTGATCGTCGTTTCCTGTGATCTAGGCATGTGTACAGATATTTATTAAATTGATTAAGGACTGGTGCACCCGGCCTTCTGGAGAAGAAAGGGTACTTTATTTGTTAATTACGTGTCTTTTCTCTTCCTTGAAAAAAGAACACTTTTTTCATAATGGTTTTACTTCTGTGTTCTTTTGAATCAGGTGCCTGGATTCCAAAGTTTTATTATTGAGGGCTTTGCAACAAACTGTTGCTTGTACAGTGTGCTCGACAAATCATTTGAATTACATGATGCAAATACTGTGAGGATACTTTCCTGAATTCTGTTTCATTTATTATTAAACTGCAAGAATAGAGTCACAAAAGATAATATATGGTTGGTTGTATTCTATATATATTTTTTAAATATATTTTACGTGGATTTTGGTTGCAGCTAATTTTGCTTGGAGAAATTGTAGTGGCCCAGAAGGTTATGTATGAGAAGTTTGGGCAGGATTTTCTTGTTCATTTTGTATCAAAGGGTTTTCCAACTGCACACTGCCCTCAAGATTTGGCCGAGCAGTATTGTCAAAAGTTGCAGGTACCTACTAGCATCAACTAAAACTTCTGTTGACATATATCAGAAAGGTTATTTTGTAGAACTTGTGATCATGCAGGTTTGCCTTTTGAATTGTTGAGCGAGATTTGGTATTAATTTATAAAACCTGGGCGAGTCAAGCAACTCCTTTATCTTATTGTCTGGTTGGTTAAATATATGGATTTCGTTTCCTTTTGAAAGAAAATCAAAGGATTTAGCCATAGGAGCAGCAAACCCAGATGCCTTCGGGACTACATAGCTTCAAAACATTGGTCTCCACTTGCTTATATTAAATTTCCTATACAATTTTCTGACATCAAATGTTTCATTTCAACAGTTGGGGGTCGGAATTTGTCAATTATGCGTAAGCTTTGGTGGACACATGTTCATTGAAAAAAGAACAAAAAAATATAACGTATATCTCATTTGTGAGGATATCCCGTGGTTGGAAGGGTGACCAAAATTTCATTTTAAACACCCTATTTATATGATGTTATTGGGCTGAAAATCAATCTGTTCTCCCCATTTTTAAGTAATCTTGTAACCTAAAGGTTAGGCATAGTGGTCAAATTCAACCAAAAGAGGTCGAGAGAACAAAACTTTCTGCTCAATTATGCATTGTTTTCTAAAATGTGAAGTGCATCAAAAACACAATTTCTTTTGCCTTTTTTTTTTTGGTAGGGCATTTATGCTTCAGTGAAGTGATGTTATATAAACATATTATATTAGAAATCTGCCTGGAGTACAAGACGGTTATCTATTAAAGATAAACCAAGTTCATGAACAATAGTACAAAATTCTTGTAAACTAAAGTCCTTTTATAGGAAGGCCTCAATGAATGGTTTTTTAACTGCAGCATTTGTATTTTGTTTAATCCTCTTGTGTTTCTCATTTGCAGGGTAGTGATATCAAGGCGTTAAAATCATTCTACCAATCGCTAATAGAAAATTTAAGAGTTCAACAGAATGGAAGTCTTGTTTTCAGATAGCATTGCCACGTGGATGGAATAAGTTGATAATATTTCCTGATAACACCACTTTGTGCGTTTGTTCTGAAATATGAACTGCAATTTTGTTCACCAAGGGTGAGGATGGATCTCATAGTGATCTATTGACTAGATTCTTGTTAAGATTATTTCTCCATTTGACTTTATTTGGATAATGCTGCAGGATTTACATTGTATATACGTTTTTGGCGGCTATTTTATGGATGAGGTATTTTTGTTATCTTTATGTTCTTATCAGTTTACTTTTTTTGAATTTCCTACTTCCTGAATGGCTTTTAGAGTTGGCTCATTCTCCTCTCTCTCTATATATATTTTTATATTTTTTTACAGTTGTACATTGCCTGAAAGGATCTTCTCAACTACAGAAAGTTCAGTCGAGTTTTGACGGAGTGGATCTACTTATTTACAACGAGACCGTGGTATCATTTTGTCTATACCATTTACTTCGTTTTTGGATTTTTTACACATTTTTATCCGTTACGTTATGGTATCTTACGTCGAGTATTTAAGACTAGATAAGTTCTGATTCTTGGTTTCTTGTTTTGCACCACTTGATAACGCTTATCAGTTCAGGTTTGTATATTCTGGTCAATGTTTTCTTGTGTCTGTCATGAAATAAAATCTCAAATTTGAATTTCAGTTGCAGACATGGAAGTTTTGTTTAAACGTCGTTTTTATATTTTGCCGATGTCTCTGTCTTTGCCTGGGCGTAATATATATGCACATGTGATAGAAAAATACACAAGCACAAACGGGAGAGTTGAAATGTAGATATTCTAAGTAGAATTCCATGAATGTACGCTGTTATAATGGGTTGGTATGTTTAGATTTGGTCTTTGATGGTTTGAAAAAGATGGATCATGACTTTGTTTTCTGCATAAAAAAAAAGGTAAATTTGGTGATGTCAGGTAGAAGAAGTCAGCTAAAGGTATAGTCTTAAACGGGAGCTATGACTTTGATTTTGCAATCGCTTTCAGAAGACTTACCAGTCGGTCGCCTTCCCCCTCTTCCTTCTTTCCCTTTTATTTATCCTCTCTCTATTTGACATATTTGCTTCCTTTGCCTTTTGCCATTTAACATCAACTCCTGATTTAGGCGATGGATATAAGTGGAAACTGGAAAGTGCTTGTTAAGAAAGTACTTTTTAGAATGCAGAAAGTGCCAAATTTTATATAATCATTTTAAAAACTAAATTTTTAGGTAAAAAATCACTTGGAGAACCATTTCCAAGTGAGTGATTCCCTCACTTAAAAGTGATTTTGGATTTTTCTAAAATCACTTGGGACTTCTTGCTGAACATTTCATTTTAAGATGGAAGTGATTTTGACATGAGTTAAAGTGATTCCAGTATTTATCACCCCCTAACATGCCTTAAATGTCAATATTATTTGTCATTTAAGCACTTTTTTTTTTGGATCATCGGGTGTTGCTCTCATATACATATGGACACCCGTGTTTGCTCCAAGGTCCAGATGGTCGAGATTTGAGAGGTAACCAAGAGATCCTAAGTTCTTGCCAATCACTAGGGTTTTCTTTTCTCCTCTTCACGTGGTCTCTTTTTCACCTCTAATTCCTCCATAAAAAATTTTTAGGTTGAGGGAGGCTTATACATGTTCTAAATTGTATTGATTGCAATTCATTTGTCAAAAAAACTATCCTATTTGAGGGAGTGGCTGCATATATATATATAATCTTTTTTTTTTCTCTCTTATGATGGAAGGTTGAATAAAAATCAAGGCGATTAAGAAAATTTTGAAGTTGATTTTAAAGTCATTTAAGTCACATTATCAGCATATACAATTTACTTAACTCGAGTATGTTTCAATTTTATTCTTGAATTATGAAGGAATTTTGAAACTATTTGATGTTACAAATATATACAAAATATATGAAGCTAAGTAAAAGAAATCATTACAATTTAATGATAAAATGTCACAATAATGAAACCACTGAATAAAAGAATTGAAATTTGAGAGGATTTGCTATCATAGAAAAAGCAGTCTCTATGTTCAGACGTTGAACTGGAAGTTGATTTGGTATTACAATTCCATGAAATTGAAATGCACGAAACTATATATTATTACTGTTTCAATGACGACCAAAAGGCAAACCCAAGTTCAGATTAGTGGGTAACAGAAAGGCATATGGTTTCATTTTTTTAAATTTTAAATTATATTATTTTATTTCTCAGTGTACTCTTTTAAACATCTTAATCAAATTTTATAACTTTAAAGTAATTGAAAAAAAAAATCAATGGTATAGACAGACAAAATGTATTATTTTAAATAATAAGAAGTTTCTTAATTTCCTTTATTTTATTCAGTTGATCTATTCTCCGATGCCTTAATAGACGTGTCACGTGATATATTAAAAAAACTAAATTCTAAGTACCTTAGCTACTTGTTTGATAATTATTTTGTGTTTGATTTTTTTGTTTTTAAAAGTTACGCTTGATTTATACAATTTCTTTAATATGTTTCTTATCTTTCTAAAAAATATATAACAAAACAAAGAAACGGTTGTGGAAGTAGTTTTGGCTAAATTTTAAAAAACCTAAAACAAAAAATGAAAGGGTTATCAAAAGTAAAAGTTTTCAACTACGTCTTAGTAAAAAAAAGAAAAAAAAAATTAAATATTATCATCAAATTATCACATGAAAACTCAACCTGCCCATGATCAAGATCTAAGTTGTCCGATAAAATCTAGGTTAAAATACTATTTTGGTTTATTTTAGTACTTGTATTTTGAAAATGTTCGTTATGGTTCCTATATTTTTTATTTTGATTCATTTTAGTCCATGTACTTTGAAAATGTTCATTTTAGTTCTTTTTTGTAAAATTTTAAAACAAATTTCACATATAACGTCAGAAACTCTTTAGTATAAAGTAATGCTTACATCTAAGAAATATGTTGATTGTAACGTCGTATTGAAGTTATGATAGAAAAAATGAGATTAAAAGGAAAATGAAGAGACCAAAATGATAGCTTTTTAAAAGTATAAAGATCAAAATGAAGATTTTGAAAGTACATGGACTAAAATAAACCAATGTTGAAAGTATAGGAACTAAAACGAACATTTTAAAAATACAGTAACAAAAAATATAGGGACCAAACTAGTATTTTAACCTAAAATCTATTTATTCCAAATTTCATATCCAAGGACATGTCCCGCGTCCAAACATGTTCATAATTTGTATAAACAACTTTTAAAAGTATTTTTTTATTGGTGAAAGAACTTAATAGAAAATTTTAATACATTTAGGATTAATTTGTGAATTTTAAAAAACCAACCAGACATTGAGAATTACCTAAATGATCTTGTTTTATATTGTATTTCTAAGTAAAATCATTATGAGGTCAAGATTTAAACCAGACGGAAATTTGTATTTTTTTTTCAAATTATAAGAAATATGTAATTTTTTTCTAACTAATGACGACTATTTCTGAAAAAAAAAAAAGACTAAATTTGTAATGTAGCCTGAAAATCACTGAATTAATTGGCCTTAGTGCGTGTGTAATTCACACGGCGTCGACAGACAGAAGAGAGAAACTGTGAGTGCCCCTTTCTTCACATTCATACTCTCTTCCTCGTAATCTTCAAACCACCACCACCAACAACATACGAATTTACGAAGAAACTGCAAAATCAGCACATGATCGAGACAAAATCAACACCCCAAAAATGGAAAGAAAAAAGAAAAAAAAATGAAAACGAAAACCAAAATTCTCCATTTCTCCAATAATTAAAGTCAATAATATCCAAATCCCACCTCCCATTCCCCACAAAAACTGGATTTTGAGCCCAAAAACATTTCGATTTAATTCTATATTGTATTTTGAACTCTGACCCACATAAGAAATCAACTTGTTTCGTCATCATTAGCTTAAAGGACCTGACTTTGCCTTTAATTTTAGACCCCAATTCTCCAGACACTATAAAACCCATCATTTGCTCTCAATTTTTATGTGCAAATCAAATCAAAAATCAGCTTCAATGAACCATGGCTTTCAGTTTCAGAAAGTTCTTTTCTCTGAAATTCTTTCTACCCAGTTGTTTGAAGCCAAAGAAGCTTCTCACAAACCCAAAATCTCATGCTTCAAAAAAAATCTCTCTCAGAAGAATCTTGTCACTTACTGATATGAGTGTCAGGTCATCTCTCTCAGTTATTAGTGATCTTTCAAACTCCTGTAATGGTTCACACCTTCAAATTTTCACCTTCAAAGAACTTGAAGAAATCACTCAGAACTTCACCAAAGGCAACTATTTGGGGGAGGGGGGATTTGGGCCTGTTTTTAAAGGGTTTATTGAAGGGAATTTCAAGCCTGGGTTGAAGCCACAGCAAGTGGCTGTGAAGATTTTGGACTTGGATGGCTCTCAAGGCCATAGGGAGTGGCTGGTGAGCATTTTTGAGTTTTTTTAACTCTCTTTTTTCTGATGGTTTTGGGTGTAAATTATGGTTGATGATTGAGGTTTTTGCTCTGTTTTTGTAGGCTGAAGTGTTCTTTCTTGGGCAATTGAGACACCAAAATCTTGTTAATTTGATTGGGTATTGCCTTGAAGATGAGCAGAGGCTTCTTGTTTATGAGTACATGGAAGGTGGGAACTTGGAGAATCTGTTGTTTAAAGGTAATTCTGGAGGGAGAATCCATGGCTGCTCTGCTTTTGTTGTTATGCTCATTTGTTTGGCATTTTTCTTTTTGTTCTAATGGAGTTTCTCTCTTGGGTTTAGGCTGTTATGTTTCAAATTTGACATGGTTACAAAGGATGAAGATTGCATTAGGATCAGCAAAAGGCCTTGCTTTCCTCCACGAAGCCGAAAAACCGATCATTTTTCGAGATTTCAAGGCTTCAAACATCTTACTAGACTCGGTAACGTCTCTTGCTTCTAAACTGATCTCTTCCATAAGCCAAAAAAGAACTCGTAAACTAATCTTCTCGTTGTTGTCATCTTTCTCATCCAGGACTACAATCCGAAGCTTTCGGATTTCGGGCTGGCCATCGACTGTCCCGAAGGAGACGAGTCGCACATCACGACCCGAATCATGGGGACCGAAGGCTATGCAGCGCCAGAATACATCATGACAGGTTCATAACCCAACTCTGCAGCTACCTATAACCACTTGTACCAAAACATTTGCACCAATTCTCAACCATTTTCTGATATTCTTTCAGGTCATTTGTCAACAATGAGTGATGTATTCAGCTTTGGGGTGTTTCTGTTAGAGCTACTAACGGGTCGACGAGCAGTCGACAAGAGTCGACCGAGCCGAGAGCAGAACTTGGTGGTTTGGGGAAGGCATCTGTTGAAAGATCACCACAAACTTGAGAAGATAATTGATCCAAGGCTTGAGGGGCAGTACTCAAATGAAGGAGCTAAAAAAGTGGCTGCAATAGCTTACCAATGCCTTAGCCACCACCCCAAATGCAGGCCCACAATGAACTCTGTGGTGAAGGATTTGGAGGCTGTGATTGACATGAAAGAGTTTCTAAGTGAGCCATTTGTGTACATTGCCCCAAGTGAAGACACCAAAAGGGAAGATGAAGTAGAGAAGAAGACGAACAAGGATGTGGTGGTGGAGGAGACGAAGCCGAAGAGCCACCAATCGGAGCGAAAAGGTCATAGGTATCGAGTTTCATTGTCGAGATCGAGATCTGGTGCTGTTCATTCTGATACAGATTTGTACAAGAATCTTGGAAGCAGTTTTTACCCTCCAAAACAAGCTGCTGCTGTTGCTGCTTTGGTGAAAAGCACTTGAAATTAGTTTGATTGACTATATGTTTATTATTGTAGTTAGCCTAAAATGGACCTTGGACATAGAAATTAGAGAGCAAAGAATTCACARAAAGATGAGAAAATAAAATAGTTTGGAGTTTGGAGTTTTTTGTTTTTGTTTGTTTGTTTTTTTTAATCCAGATTTTCTCYGGTTTCCAAGATTGCCAACTCCATAGTTGAGATCACGAAGATCTCTTGGAAATGGAAAATTTAAGAACTTTTGTTTTTTGGTCAAAGAAAATTTGATACTCCCGGGCCATAATTTTTTTTAATATAACATGTGGTGGTGGGAAATTGAACTCACAATCTCTTGGTTTGAGCTATGTTCGCTTTGACTGCATATAATTTTATTTAGTACAACAAATATAGGGATGAATGATTGAACTTCCGACGTCTAGGGAAGGAGTAGGATGTCTTGCCCTCTATTTATTTAGTTTTAGTTTCAAATGGGTTGAAATTTGAATTTGGCAAATGGGTTCAATAATGTAACATTTTGGTTCAATGACGTGGGAGTTGAGAAAGTTGCATCGGTTGAAAATGTGGATTTTCGATCGGGTTTAAAGTCATTATTATGATGAAGGTGAATCCCATCTAGGGTTCAATAGATAATGTTTGATGGATTTCTATGACTTCTTTTGGAGTGGAACCATGATTTTACCTCTTCTTGTTGAATTTTTGTTATTCATTGAAAAGCTTAAATCAAGATAACAATGGAAGTTTTAAAACTACAAAACTTAGACAAAATCTACATTAAGATTATAAACTCTAAGACTATAATTAATAGTAATTATAAGTATTGTTGATGCATGAGTTCGATTGCGGTAACGTGTTAGGAGGAGAATCCGAGGTGGATTTTGAGTCTATTGAGCTAGGGACCTGCAAATAGAACCTTACATGGATGTGGTGTTAGGCCATGTACACTTATGAAGCTTAATTTAGTACTTTATCCGAGCTGATGTTGAGTTAAACATAGTTGAATGTAAAAAGATAGTACACCTTTTAGAAAGTAGAACTCCGTCTTTTATAGGAGAAGAGGCTCAACGATTACGGTTTATGTACCTGTGATTCAGTGGATCTTCGACCGTCAGTCAGAAGATCCTCTAGTAGTAGAATTGACATTGCGTTAGCTGTTAATGGATTCTTAGTCGATTAGAATCTTCTCTAGGTTGGAGTCGAGCTGAGCTATGGTTCTAGATGCACTCCTTCCTTCTCGTCTTCGGTGTGGCTTGGATACACGTATCTTAATAGAATTAGATTATAAGTTTATGTTTGATTTTACCCTTAACAAATATGATTAAGAAAGAAAAAAACAAACTTAACCTCAGTAAGAATTTTTCGTATTTTTTTTCATAAAAGGAGGCCACCAACTCAATATTTTTCATATTTATGGTTTTCTTGTATACCCAATTGAGATTTTCCTCATCAAGAAAATGGTAATTATGGAAATGTTCATAGGATGGGTTTCAAAGTTGAAAACGGACCAAGAAATTGATGGGTGCATAATTCTTCAATGGTACCCTATTTCCCATCTTACCAACCCACTCAATTTTAAGGTTGTAGTCCACCCAAACCAATCTTTTTGTGCAATTTTCATGTGTTTGTTTGGGCTGAATTTACCATTCCAGCCTTTCAAATGATGAAAGCCCTTTGAATGGACTTACAAATTTAATTATGTTTCATCATTGTTGTTTCCTGTTTTTTCCTTTGAAGATAAATTTCTCTAAATATAAATTTAAATAATGATTTAACTATGTTTCTTTTTATTTTTATTTTTTAAACGTTAACCTATTGTTGGTCTGTAAGTACAAACATCTAAAACTAATTACTCTTAACATCGAGAAGTATTTACTCGCAAGTTTTAGAATGGTATATTCAAAATTAAGAAACTTACATTAGACTTGTATGTTCGAAATTAAGAAGTTATTGGAATCATGATTCTTCATATACCTTATTATCTTGTTATTATTTCAAACATATATGCTTCTATTTTTACAAATCCTTAGGATTAGCACCATTGTCTCTAATAAGAATTTATAAAGTATTTATTATGATAAAAAAACACTATTAAAATTTCATTGAACATACACTATTCATTCAATATCGGAGAGAGTCATTCAAAAAAATACTTGACTCATAAATCATAGCTCCTAAATATTTAGTTTATGCCTCTTAAAACACTATCTTAGATTCTTACCCCTTAGGTTTCAAGCTTTATTTTCTATCAATTTTTATCATTTTAATAGACAGTACCATGTATTTTTCAATGGGGGAATATTTTTTCTTATTATTAAAAAATAAAGATTCCTCAAAGTTTCTAAAGTAAGCTCAATGCATCTTATTCAGAATAAATCATATAATTAATTGTATTGCTTATTTTCATTTAATTAATCAGAGTTGCAAGCTTTACAGCATGTACAATTACACACATATATTTATCCCTAAATTTAGCACTGTCTATTACACCAAAAGTTAATATTCTTTTTTTTCCCGCCCTAAATATTTGAACTCAATACATATAAATACCGTCCAGTCAAGTTTCTTCAGAAACAGTGACCTCTAAAACTCAGCAATAGCGCCAAATTCCCTCAAATCGACACACTATTCGGAACTCCTCTGCAAGTAACTCCCGGTTCCGAGCTCGGTGCCAGCAGCTCATACGGCAAAACTCCGGCGCCGCACCGATT